ATCAGATGCTGATGCACACGGGTTCCCATCTGCTCTGGTTATGAGCATTGTCATGTTAGGAACACCTTTTTCTCTCTCATTTCACATGTATACACATGACGGAGCTTTGGAGAGATTATGTTACGGGTCTTGATCACGGGCATGTCTGTAGTGGACCAAAATTTCCTTGTCGACAAAAGGGCTAGCTTTCGAAATGTAATGAGGAGATCGAATAGTAACCTAGCGGTTTCAAGCTCTTCTTTGTTGTGGTCTACACGCGTTCGTGATGTTTGATATAGTGTCATTGCTGCAGCAATTTCATCATCCACTCGTAGACAGCCCATTGTACGGCGTTCACCACGAATGCCCGTATGCTACATATGCCCAAGCCACGGAAGAAGACGCCCGCACCTTCTGTCTTGTACGCATGCCTAGCAACCTCGATAGCGCTCAATCGTGCTCTGGGTGTCTCTGACCCTAGCAATGCACTTCCCTCCCCATCCCGCATCGGCGCATGCAGTATTTGCGTCTGCACCCTCGTCTTGATAACATCCAGCGGAAATATCGACGCCCATGTTATGACTCCAGCAAGACCACCACACAACAGCACCTTCATGGCTGTTTCGCGATCGGAGTCGTGTGGAGAGGACCAGGCCTGTTTCGAGAGTTCGTAGGACCAGAAGCTGCGTGTGCGGTCAGCCAACGTCCTCCAACAACGGACAGACAGGCAACTCACTAAAATCCATACCCCACCGCATCCCTCACACTCGTGATCCCGCCTCCATAGTACAATCCCCTTATTCCCTCTGCCTTCCACACGTCTCTCGCTACACTCCAACTCGTTGTCGTCGCGTTGGTCGCTACCTGCGCGCGGCACTTTACGAGTTCGGTAGGTGCGCTCACGATGAAGGACGCGAGACCGCCTGTAGCGCCTGCTAGGAAGACTTTCGAGTAGTTCGTAGGCGATGCGGGGGAGTCGTGGAGGAGGGTGAGTGTGCGGTTGTAGGTCATGAATAAGAGGGCGTTGAGGGCGCCGTAGGTTAGGATGGGTGCTGTTGCGCCTGTACTGGAGGAGTTGAGTCAGTCAATCGTATCCCACTTTCATTTATACCGTTTCGAGTGTCTATTTGCTTGCTAACCTCTTACGAGCGTCCCCGCATTCTCAAATTGTCCTTTGAACCCCCGTGGTGTTGCTACCGTCGCGCCCGTAGTAGCTGGAGATGTAGCTTCGACAATTTGGGACGAGGGACCGGCTTGGAGACGCGTTTTTATCAGGTCGAGTGGGTTGCCGATTATTATTCCTGCTGCGCCGGATACGTAGCCTGCCCAGAAATCTGCGGACATGGCTTTTTGAGAGGGGAGGGAGGGTTGGAGAGGGGCAGGTGAAGGGAGGGGTACTTGGGGAAGGGTTGCTGGAGATACATGCTGCGGGTTGTGGGGCAAGGGACGCGAGGGTTGTGCCGAGGCTCAATGGAGTGTTTGTACATGTTGACTGTGAGGACGCTGATCGTACATATTGGAGATGGGTATGATGGTCGCTATCAGGAAACGATGGCTATGTTGCAGTTCACTATCGTCTTGGTAGGTATGTTCACTGTATTGTTCGTCGCATGTATTGTCATATAGGTGTTCAGATCTTACGGCAAGATCACAGGCTAAGTAAATCGAGACCTTGTCGAAAGTACATGCGAATATGTAGCTAGAAGCTAGACTAGAAGCGCCCTGCAGCGAAGCATGCCAGACCATGTTTACTTGTGCGACGATCCAGCTCGTCTCGTTCGGGACGCTTGACGCTGTCGGACCATCGACAGTATCTCGAACAAGCAATGCGTGTGAAGTATCGGGCTGCGATGCTGCAATTTTCAGAGAATTTAGCTCGATGTAAAGACTGGCTTGAAGCCCAGTCGAGGTTGGCGCAGAGAAAACCCAATGGCATGCATCTCGTGTGTGTCATTCGCCACCGCGTTGGCCTCGCGACCCGACCCGAATGAATCATGGAGCACTGACCATATGAGGCTGAGACACGCCTGACTACCTGCCGATCTCCCTCACCCCGCCGCCACCCAGACTCACTCAGTTACATTTACCTCTCGCGCAAGACTCATTCTCTGTCACTACTTATTTCTTTCCTTTCACTCGTGTCCGTGGATTCCGACTCGGTCTGAAGACACTCTTTCCATTGAACCTGTCGCGATAGACCATGAGCGTGCGACTAAGACGATTGTTTCGAGATCAGTTACACGGTATGTTTGACACTTATTGCGGTACAGGCGGCGCAGTATATATCCAGACTGTTCAGGCTGTTCAGGCTTCAATACGCGCGAGCTGTAGCCTCGGGACCGCTTACCATGGTTCATCGCTCACCTTACTGACGCCTCCAGTGTCTTCTACGCATTAGCACCCAATCCCTTGCGATACGCACACACCTCACATAATACGCCGATTCGTAAGCCTAGAGCGATCAAATGCCTTCACAACCGCTCGACTCCGGCTGGGACTTCAGCACCGCCATCGGCCTGATAGATTCGGGCACCCAAGAGATTAGCTCCCCTCCGCTTCGGTCGGTGGCGACACCTCAGGCTTCTACGCTGAAAGAAGGAGGAATACGTCTAGGCAGCTTTTCGAAGCTGTTCGAAAACTTAGGTTTCGCCGATACCGCCTCTGCACCGTTGCCGCCACTCGATCCTGAGTCCGAACTCAGCAATTCCGACGACGCTTTATTACCTTCTCCTGTCCTCGAATCGACCAAGACACCTGCCAAACTCAACGAGAGCTCAGACGAGCAGGGAACAGACAACGCAGGTCTGACTAAGACCCAACGGAAGAAGGCTCGCAGACGCGCCGAGAAGGAGCTCGAAGAGGAGCGGTGCCGCCACCAAGCTGTTCAGGACACCTTGGCCCAGCTTGCGGAAGAACGCGAGCAGAGGAAGCAACAGGCACAGCAGACGTTACTGCGGAAACAACTAGATGAAATTGCCAGCATAACTACCAAGGATGTCAAGGTGGCGGAAACGCCAACCAAGCCGTCCCGAGCACATTCACGATCCAACGTGGGCGCTAAGATCAGGCCTGCGACGCCTACCCCAGTGCATGCACAAGACACAACCGAGGCTCCTCAGACACAACAGAAGCAGCCCAGGACACCCAAGGCCCGCCCCAGCATACTGAAGCGGCCTTCCGTGGCACAGCCTGTGACTCCTCAGCCTCCTCAAGAAGTTCCCGTAGTCGTTCCCTCTACTGCACCGGCCCCGACTCAGACCCAAAACATAACATTCGATGCACTCGCACCTGCCCCGTCTCAGGACCTTCTACTCGAACCTCAGCAAGCGCCTCGTGCCACCACACCGGTACACCATGGACTTGTTCCCCGAACTGTTCGACCGGTCACCGTACCAAGAACCTGTTCACAACCAGCCGTCGTTCAACAACCACCCACTACCCCAACGCCGCAACGTAAGTCGTTTAGCGGACAGCGCCCAGCTCTCACGATTAGATCACAGGTAGAGCGTCATTACCACTTGTTTAACAAGTTGATGGAGACTTTCCCTGATGATCGAAAGTGGCTGGTGGCTCCTATGCAAATGCTCAACGAGCGCAACTCAGCGCATGGATTGCACGTCTTTGTCGATGCCTCCAACATCATGATAGGCCTCAAAGACATGCTCCGCTACCACGGCCTGCACCACAACGCATACGACATGTCTTTTGACAGTCTAGCGCTACTGATGGAGCGCCGCCGACCGGTAGCAAAGCGCTTCTTCGCCGGCTCCCACCGCGAAGCCAACCCCCTCCCCCACGTGGCGAAACTAGTCGAGACATCCAAAGCCGTCGGCTACGACAGCGTCATGCAAGAGCAAGTGCTGATCGTACGCGAAGACTCGGAGAAGAAGAAATTCTTCAACGACGTCAAGAAGATGGGCTGGCACAAGGCTACTCAAATACGCTCTTCTGGCAGCGGCAGCGACTCTGAAACGGGTCCATCTGCTGTTACTCCCAAGACGCCCTCGGCCCCGAAATGGGTCGAGCAAGGTGTCGACGAGATTCTTCACTTGAAGATGTGCCAGAGCATTATTGACACCGAAGTGCCTAGCACCATGGTTCTCGCGACGGGTGATGGTGCCGTGGCGGAGATGTCGGATGGCTTCCTCGCGCATGTGGAGCGCGCGTTGAAGAAGGGGTGGAAGGTTGAGTTGATCAGTTGGGGTCAGCAGATTAATGGAGGATATAGGAGGAGGCAGTTCAGGGCCAAGTGGGCGGAGCAGTTTACGATTATCGAACTCGATGAGTTCTTGGAGGATCTTATTGATACTCCATAGGATGGTGGGTTTACGTGGTTGGATGTGTTGGTACGGGATGCATTGTTTTGGTGTTAGTTCGCATATGGTATGAGGCATGAGCGAGCATGGCGTTGCTCGTTGTCGTTCTTGGTGGTATTCTTCTGGTTGTACATAGCTTCGGCTTATTTCGTGGTGGTTCTTGTATTGCATTTTTTGCGCGAAGGGCATTCAGCGTTGTTCTTATATAGCATGGCTCATCGTATCTGATGGTGCATCGACTTTCACCTCACAATCATAGGAGAAAGAAACTCTACTTGCTCATCTTTATCTATCCGATCCGAAGTCTTATGCACGAAAACGTCTAGTTGCATCGCCAAGTGACATGATGAAAGGCTCAGCCTGGTGGCGCTGTTCAGCCACCGCCATACATGGCTTTACATCACAGTGATCGACAGGTAAGCTGTGAGGTCGCTTGATCAGACCTGTTTACTGTCCAAGGACCTCAGCCGTGTCTGCCTGGCGCCACCAAAGCCGAACGGCATACCGCAGTTGCTGTGTTAGAACCCAAAGGCTCAAGGCTAAAGGGCCAAGGCTGAAGACATGACTCGACCTTGGAAAGCATAAAGCCTGCCGCGCAGTGTCTTATTGTTTCTCACTCAGTTACTCTATCGAACCTTGGAAGTTTCAATTACCACAACCACACGATCGAACTGTGAGCATAGCACCGAAGAAGAAATACACGACATGCCTCGTGACCCGACCTACCACAATGTGGAGAAGACGAGACGCCACGCTCTCAAGCCGTACGATAGAGACGCCAGCGACAATCAAGTGGTGACTGGCGATGCCGACATTAGTGACGTTGAAGCAGCTGGCGACGACGAAGGATCAGGCGGCGATGACATTACTAGCAGTGCCGATGACTCTAGCGACGCCGAGAGTTCCAGCGACGATGATGAATATGCAATCAACAGTGAACATGCCGACGAGGGGGAAGAAGCCAATAGCGATCAAGATTCTGACAGCGAGGAAGAAGCTAGCGACGTTGAAGATGCCATCGACGACGGTATCGACGATGAAGATGAAGACATGGAAAAGCCAATCAACATCTTCAACCCAAGTGACTCCAGCGTAAACTGCACCGACATGGGCGAATCTTACGCCTCAGGACTACCCAACGAATACAGCCCACCCGCTAGCGACTCCGGAGGAAGAGATCTTGACAAATGGAAGGAGCGTCTTGAAGAAAACGGCTTCAAGACGTCCAACAACCCGCCCGACGAAGAATACCTTAGCGGTGCTCGTGAAGCCTCTGTTGCGTACTGGCATGCCGATGGCGGTGGGCACGTCGTCGCAATGGATGGTGGCGACAACGATGCGACTTATACATACTCTGATCATCAGGGCCGTGTTGACGAGGATGTCACGGAGGAAGTGAATGAGGCAAGACGTGATGGGCGCATTGCATTCTATGTCACGAGGCCGAACTTTGACGATCGCGAGAGGGAACAGCAGCAGGAGGATGCCTATGAGGATGACGAGGAAGAAGAGGGAGGAGATGAGGCCTATGGTGATGACGGAGACTATGGAATGGACAATGGGTGGAACAAATACCGGTGATGCTGCGATGGACTCCAAATTGATACTCGTAGCACTCACTCATCAACCTTGAAGTTGCCATCACATTGCCAAAACCTCATCGACTCATGATCCTCCCTCCCCAACACCGTACCTGACGATCCCATCCCCAACCGCACACCTTCAGTGGAGCATCCCCTGAGATCCCCCTCCCCTACTCCTCCCACCGCATCCGCGTTCCGACTCTTCCGAGATCATCCACCACAGATCATCGCAACAACCCTTCACCGTCCGCCGGCGTGCCGAACGGCAGCACGACGGTCTCGGCAAAAGTAGTCAGCAAATGGCAATTACCCGACTCCCGCTTTTGCAGCAGGGACGACGGCGGCGGAGCGACGGTTTGACCGCGCTCGGACCCTCTCGCGGCGCGCGAGACATGCGCGCAGAGACGGGAGAGAGAGAGAGAGGCTGGGATACGCGGGATACGAGAACGAGACTACTAGGTTCTTGCGCGACATTTTCGCGTTCGCGTAGCACGATTGTACCTGGATTCTGTCTTTAGTGAAACAACGGGGCAATGCTGTGCTTCTTTTCTTTTCTGCGGTGTGGATGCAGGACAGCAAACGGGCGGAGAAGGGGACGGGCAGCGGATGCGGGTGGGTTTTGTTTGTTTGGGCAGCATGTATGTTGGGGGAGTGACAGTGACAGCGAGTCAAGGCATGAACATGGTAATGTTGGTGTTGAAAGGGATGTACATGGCATTTGTTGGAGAAGGGTGTCAGAGTCAGGGCAAAAGGAGGAGGGAAATTGCGATGGTCGCGATGTTGGATCTCGACTCTTCTTTTGTGATTTAGCCTACAAATCGAGTGCAGTCTGCGTGATCGAGTTTTTTATTGAATTGAGTTTTTTTCCTTTGGCTGTGACTCGGTAAAGAGATTTGTTTGATTAGTTAGTGTTGGTTAGTATGGTTTGGGAAAGGACGAATGTCGTGAGAGGAAAGCGCGGTGGAGGTTGTGTTCGTCCGAGCCTCCGCCTGACATGTCCGAGAGAGCGAGACCGAGATGGCCATCGGCGATTGGGCAGTGGGTGGATCGGACAGGAAAAAAGAAATTGCGCATCGGGCGTGAGAAAAGCACAGGGTTGCGGGTGGAACCATGGCAGTGGAAAAACGGGTGAGGATGTGTCTACGCCAAGCAGGCGAGGACTGCACGGGTTGCGGATCTTGCGAGGTGCCGAGGGCGCCTATTCAGACGTCGCGACGGACGGTAGGAATGGCGCGGGTACAGTCAGCGGTGGCTTTTCTGGTGCGGTGAGCCTTGTGTCGGGGCGTGATTGGTAAGTAGCGTGCAAGAGGTGAGAAAGTTTGGGCAATGCAGTGGAGTGCAGGGCATGTTTCGTGTGTCTTTGGGGCTGGGGTGGGTGGCCGCACGCCTTGTGAGACAACGCCGACAGCGAACGAGGCTGACCAGCACATGCCCGTATCTCGTACAGGCGACGGACCGGGATGCGGAAGTCGATGGAAGACGATTTGGCATGCGTTGGTTGCCATGGCTTGACGGCACGATGCGGTCACCTGTATGTTGATGTCATGACAGGCTAACCAAGGGTCTAACGCACCGCTGCATCACTCTGGCATGGCGCATCGCTCTGGCGCCAGGCCAGCAGCAGTTTTGCTAGACGGGACCCGTACCAAGATGACAAAGCCATGTGTGAGTGCGACGGACAACGTGATAAGGAAGTCGACGGGTGTGCTGCAAGGGTCACATGCCTGCAGATGCAGATGCAGAGGCCCTGGGAACGTTATCAGTGCCACGGTTGGGGTCGCATGCCACCATGAGAGCCCACGGTGAAAGAGAAAGCGTCAACCACGGGCACTCGCATTCTTTGCCAACGCGGTCGAAACAATGATGCGAATCCTGGCGGCCGTCACAGCGTCCTGGTGTAAACGAAATTGAGCGCCCTCGCAGACTAGCCGGGTCCGTCGTAGCCGCTCACGTCGCGGACCTAATTTGACCCCCCGGCAGCGCGCTGTGCAAGCCTCAGCCATCCGGAGCTTCCAGTGTCCACTAAGTCACGGCTGCCTTTCATAATCCCTAGTCCGCCCTCTTCCGCCTTCTTTCCCTCTTGTCCGCTCGCCCACCTCCTGCACGACGTCCAACTTCGACGTGCTTTCACCCGCCTCTGGTCGCGTGTCTGCTGTTGCACCTACCTGGAACTGCGCCACACAGACAACCCCCGAGCGACCGAGCCCTGAACCGCCATTCCTCCAGCGCCATCCTCACCATGACGAACAAGAGCTACCTCGCATTCCTCGACAACAGCACCGCCGCCGACATGCTGTCGCGCACAAAGGTCCCGGGCCTCTCCGCCCTGCCCAGTCTTATCCCCCACCGCGTGCGCAGGAAGTGGAGGGCCACCAAGTCGCGCATACGCAGTCGCCAGGCGCCCACGTCATCCATCGCCGGCCTCGAGACGTCCTTCTCGCCCTCGGATACCCTGCGCTCCCTGCGCACCCATTCTTGGAGCATATACGATGCCCAGTATCTCTTCCTCGCCATCCTCGCCATCTTCTCCCTCTCCGTGAGCGAGGCGCCGGGGCCTTTTGCCAAGACATTCATAGCCACGCTGCTCATGACGGGCCTGTGTATGCCCATCACACGACAGTTCCTCCTCCCATTGCTCCCTACTCTTACATGGCTATTCCTCTTCTCTAGCTGCAAGTACGTAATCCGCTTCCTCCAACTTGTGGCAAGACCCATACTAACATGCCCCAGATACATCTCCGCAGACTACCGCCCTGCCATCTGGGTCCGCGTCCTCCCCGCTCTCGAGAACATCCTCTACGGCGCCAACCTCAGCAACATCCTCTCCGCGCACAAGCACACCGTCCTGGACATTCTCGCCTGGTTGCCCTACGGTGTCGTACACTATGTATCGCCTGTCATTGTCAGCGCATGCATGTTCATCTGGGCGCCTCCTGGCACCCTCCCCATCTGGGCGCGCGCTTTTGGCTACATGAACATCACAGCTGTTCTGATCCAAATGGTCTTCCCCTGCTCGCCCCCCTGGTACGAGAACACATACGGATTGGCCCCCGCCAACTACAGCATCCCTGGTGACGCCGCGGGACTCAAGGCAATCGACAAGCTGACTGGCATTGATCTCTACACTTCGGGCTTCCACGCTTCGCCCTTGGTCTTTGGCGCGTTCCCCTCGCTGCACTCGGGATGGGCTACTCTCGAGACGCTGTTTATGGGACACGTCTTCCCCAAGCTCTTCCCCGTCTACGTTTTCTACACTATGTGGCTTTGGTGGTCGACCATGTACTTCTCCCACCACTACGCCATTGACCTGGTAGCTGGCAGTCTGCGTAAGTCTTGACATCCAACCTCAACCCTTTTTAGTGCTAATTTTCTCAGTTGCCGGTGTATGCTATTTCTTTGGCCGCGCCAAGTTCCTCCCCCGCCCGCAATCCGACAAGGAGTTCCGCTGGGACTACGACTACGTCGAGATTGGCGACCCCATGGACGGTGCTGGCTACAGCATGCTCGACATCTACGAGGAATTCCCATCCCACGCCCACTCCGACTCGGACGACTGGGCTAGCGGCTCCTCTTCATCCTACTCCACCGGTGGCAGGAGTCCCATCGGCGCACGATCACCAACCGACGACTCTCAAAGCCTCTGGGAAGGCGAGACCATCGGATCCGACACGGAGCCCACCACCCTCCGCAAAGACTAAGACCTACGACACATCTACATCTCTCTCGCCACAGACTTATACTCATTCCTACGTTTCGCACTATCACCTTACCTCCCCGGGTGACGGCCTCTAACGACCTATGCATTGGAGCGGAGTTTTTTCTTGTTTGCGAAGCATTTCAGCGATCCATTATCTACACCATGGATTTGACGGCATAGAATCACTGGCCTTGCATGCATCGGGGAACCACAACCATTCTTCTCGTGGGCATCCCTTGTAGCGCTACAATCGCGCGGTTTATTGTACCCCTTTTTTTGATACCCAAGTCGGTCGCTTACCTTTTGGACTTTTCACGACACAGTTGTGTCTGTGTCGTTGTTGTTGTATACATTCGCTTCAGCGCCCGGCCGCCATACTTTCCGCATTCTACTTTTTTGAGCGGCTGGATGTCTGCATATAGGGGGTTTTGATGATGTTGTGGGCATGAATGGCAAAGGCATGGCAGATGCCATGTCTATGCTGATTTGGAAATAGGTGGTAATGATGGGCTTGGTCGGAGCCTGCCACCACGGAAAGAAAGGGACTATTATTATCTAGTGTAATGCTTAATGGAATGGAAACGGTTAATGAACCAAACAATCATGGATCTTGTTAAAGTGTTGCCTACAGTCATCTCATGCTCGTGGAACCAAGGTTCTATCATTTCGCTACCCAACTGTCAACCATAATTCGTATTTGCAAATGCCATGCGGACTATCCGCCCGTTCCTTTCGCTTTGTCGCATTCAACTTCTCCCTGGATCTCCCCATATCAGCTCGACCTCAAGATCCACCTACAAGTCGCTATCACCCCATCAGCCATGGACTACCTCGAACTAGACGATACCGCTACACAGGCTTTCGAAGAGCTAGGCGGCGACTTCGACCTACCACATATCCCATTGAAACGTTCTGGGTCTACGAATTCTTCTACCACCTCACCGCCGAAACGTCCCCGTCGCCGGGTAGAAGCATCTTATCTCTTCCGACTTGAGCATCCTCTTTCTACACCCCGCGATGTAGCTAATGCTATCGGTCTTTCTCGTGTACCGCGACTTGAACATGGCGTTGGAGAAGACGGCGAAGCGAGCTTCTGTCGGCTTTTCCAGTCCAGCCTTAACGCTCTCGATATTTGGATCGAGAAGCACTGTCCGAAACAGAGGTTTACAAAAATCCGCATTGGACTTGCGCATAAAGATAGTGCAGAGCTGCCATTACTGGGTCGCGATCCAACACTTCCCCAGTACCGGCCCACTCTCGCAGCCAGGGTCAGGGTCAGGGCCAGCGAACGACCTTTACCA